TGTGATGACAGGTCTGGGTATCTAACCCATGACCACAGTAGTAAGAGATGGTTACATTACCATGTGATGACAGGTCTGGGTATCTAACCCATGACAAACGTGAGAGGTGACACATAAGCATGTAGTCACCACTGGTGGTTCACCTTTTTTTTAGCATTCTAGGACCAGTCCCTTCCCAGACGCACCAAATTCCAAAACCTTTAAATAACTGAGAAGCAAATGTTGCATTGTGATACTGAAGAAACAAATAACATGCCATTTGAATATCTTGTAAAGACATAATTTCAATTTTATGCATTTTGCTGTCCACCTGCCCAGACTCTTTTATTTCCCTATTCCTTGCCCTTCATACCTTTGGATGAGGAAGACCACCTGCAACAATGCAAAATTTGAATTACTTAAGAACACCAAGTGTTTAGAGCTGATATTAACTGCCTTCTGGTTCTGCAGCAAGACTTTTAACAGACAACAATTATAGTGACTGGGACTCATGTTTAAGACAGAATTTTACATGACACAAATAATCCTAAATATAACTTTAATTTTGCCTAAGCACATGCTGGCATTTCAATTTCCAGTACAAGCATCCATGATCTTTAATAATAATAATAATAATAATAATAATAATAACTTTATTACTGTCTCTATTTCTTCTAGCAGGGCACAAGTGCCCTACTAATCGGGGAGACAAAAATAAAAAATTTAAATTCAAAATTTAAATTCAAATTAAAAATTCAAGCAAATTACTTGCCCCAGTTTTGAAGTCGCCTCCCTGATAAGCTTGTCCATTTTGGCTTTGGTGCTGCATAAACCTATAGTATTAAATCATACATAATATAATCCCTGATATTTTTCCATTATCAAAGTTAAATAACCTTTTATAATTAAATATTATTTTTTTAGAGCTATTTAACAACATGTGGTTTCGTGGTTTGAGTGAACTAAATAAAGCTACAGTATATGAGAGTGCCTTTTCTAGCTGGGCTATTATTCCAACAATAACTGGTCTCTATAAAAGCTTATTGCTGCGAGTAGTGACAATGAACTTGATGATTTCCCAGTGTGGGATCACTCTATGCTAGGTGTCAGAAAAAATATTGATTTGTGTTTGTCACTATCTTGAGCTCATTCACTCACAATGATTTTGGAGCATGCCTGAAACTCAGGTTAGCAGAACATATGTTTTCAATGGGGAACACCTATTTTAAATCAATAGTCTATCATATGTTTGTTTGTTTAGGCAAGCAAGTCAAGTACTCTAAATCATGTCCAGCTTAAAATTTATTTATGGTTGGAAGTATTTGCCTCAATCTCACCAAATATTTATGTACCAGTCAAAGGAAACCCTAACCCCTACCCCAGGATATTTTTATTATAGAAACACAAAAATATGTTGCCTAGCCAAATTTAGTTGCCCCAGGAAATGGGTCTTTTTTTTTTCTTCTTCTTCTTTTTTTGCTATTCATTGCAAAATTCTTCATTATATGGTGGGGCATTTGTCAATTTTAGTTTGCTATTCAATGGTAATCCCTAACATATATCCTGCGGTAGAGGGGGTCGGGATTTACTTTGCCTGGTGCATTAGGAATATTTTATGGGGAACGCAATGCTATCTTATGAGCCTTGTCAATGCTTTTGTGGACAGGGCCAATGATTCTTGGAATTGAACCCATGGCCATGAACTTCCGGATGCTGGTCAGAAGCTCTACCACTGAGCTACAGGAAAGACTCATTAAAAGTAGACATTTACTGGGTTCATTATGACATATGGCCTGCATGCTGCGGGGCTCAATACATCCAGCTTTATTCAGAATCCTTCTAGATAAATAAATGATGAGATTAGGTTTAATTTAATTTAATTTAATTAACAGTTCTTGTGCATTTTGCAAGCCTCAATGCACTTATAAATAAATAGAATATGAATAGAATAGAATAGAATAGAATAGAATAGAATAGAATAGAATGCGCTTATATATAAATAGAATATAATGGGAAATATGATGCATATATTATGTGCCTATATGTACAATTATATAAAACTACAAGATATATATATATAAAACTAATGATGACTAAAGTGATAGAATATACTGATCAGCAATAAAATGCTTCTTCGAACAAGTGTGTTTTAAGTAGAGATTTAAACTTATTAACAGATTCTGCATTTTTAATATGCTGCGGAAGTTTGTTCTACAGTTTAGGAGCAGCGATTGTAAAAGCTTTATTTTGTATGTAGCTGTACTGGACCTAGGAACTACTAATAGTTCTTTATTTATAGAACGTATCCGATGTTTAGGTATGTAATGCTCTAATAAGCTAATAAGATAAGGTGGTGCACTACAATTAACGATCTTATAAGTAAGTATTAATACTTTAAACGTGATACGAAAATAAACTGGTAACCAATGTAAGTTATAAAATATTGGAGATATATGTTCCTTCTTTTTGGTCCTGGTCACTAACCTGGCTGCTGAATTTTGGATGTGCTGCAACTTACTTAAACTTAACTTAAATGCATAACTTAACGCTATATAAAATATCATTATTACTAATATTATTATTATTATCAATATTAATATTAACCTAACTTGCAATATGCAACAGCTATAGTTCAGTGACTGTTTCTTTACTTACTTCTCGAAGTAGGTCACCTTCCTCTGAGGTGGTTATAAAATTCGGCATGTAATACACAGAATCAGGAGCCTTAATTTCAGAAAAAAACAAGTGGTAAATAAAACATAAGATTTCTTAACAATCATAAAACGTTATAAAATAGAACCTTTTCGACACGAAAGGCACTTAAATCCGTTGATAAGCTAGAACAACCAGTCGCCATTACTGAATAAACGCTGCGAAATCCATCAGGCGTTCCCACAAAACTGAAGAAGATTGAGGCGATTGGAGACAGAGTCTCTAATAAATGGCGCACGGTTGATTTTCATAATAAAAATATATAAACAGTATCGATCCAAATTTGTCTTTAAAAAAAAACCACCGTAGCCAATTCTCATGAAGACGATAAATGTTCTCAAAGGAAAAAGTTTATAAAAATATTGCGACAGCCGGGAATCGAACCCGGGTCAACGGCTTGGGAAGCCGCCATGATAACCCCTACACCACTGTCGCTCGAATATTAATTTGTGAATTTTATTATATTTATACCGTTTACACCATGAGAAGCACTAGGGCGAAAATCGTCCGAAATTCAATTTGGCTGAAACTTCGTCAAAATAATCTTTAAAGATTTAATAATCACTGGTTAAAATGTTTTCATCATACGCCAATAGGAAGTATTATATTTTGAGGATTTTTATAATGTGACGCCATCTACTTATATATTGATCACTACGAAGAAATGCATACCGTAGCGATGTTTTATGTCGAGTAGAAGATTTTCGTACTATACTAAAAGGGATCAATACTGAAGCGATGTGAAGAAGGCAAGGTCTTCACGACAAATAAAACTTTTATCACCCATGGTCAACTGAATTTCATTGCCATTCTAGGGGACTATACCACATATCCCATCCAACCCAATTCCCTAATTTAATAAGGGTCTCAAAGCCGGGGATGGTTTAGAAATCTTCAAGGGAAAATTTAGGGCTAACCAAAATTTGGGTGCCTTTAGCATTAGATTAGAACTGAGAGAAGACAACAGCTTCACAGCTACATTTAAAAACGTCAAAAAATGAACCCCGGAGGGGCGAGAGTTTAGAAAGCTTAGAAAGCTCGATTGGTACTTTTGGCTCGCCCCTAGAGGCTCTCACGAGCTGGGTAATAAAGGTCTCAGCGCTAATAGCGGTCAGCGGATATTATCAGAAATCAAAATGGCCCATAAATATAACTCAACTGACTCGAAAACATAAACCATTCTGCCGTGCTCCCTTAGTAGTATAGGGAATGGGGGTTCCAGCGCAATCTCAACACGGGCAAGACCCGCGTCAAAAATCCACCTACGGAAACAACCCACTCCAAGTGTGGTTGGGGGCAACAGCGCAAATATGTTAGTCTATATATGGAGTGCGAAGATTGTAAGA